ATTTACAGGATTCAGCTGAAAACCACCATGCCAGAATGACATTAGAAATTTCTTAGAAGCCAAAAAAAGCCTGGAAATGCAGATGAAGAGCTGAAAATCTGGGCTGACGCTCATACTTAACTGTGGGGTCTCCTTAAAAACAACAACTCCAGAAGAAACGTGCAGTGGAAAAGGCAGATCACAGGAAATGGATCAGAAAACATTACTTAAATTTGAGTTTGTGAACTTCTCCCAGATTTACACCTGGACCTGATCTGTTCTCAAGCATAAAATTCCTTAAATATTTGAAGAAGTTGTTGCAATTGAATTTCCTCTCAAAGAGAGAAGGTCTGTGGAGATGTAAGATGTAAGACCCAGTACTTCTCAATTCTTATGCTTATTTTGGCAATTGCTATTCCTTGTAGCTAATTTAATAGTATTTCTTGTTGTAAGATTAGAAGTGAATTGAGCAATGTGGAAGTATAAAAGCACAGAATATGCACTGATTATTATTCTGCTATCTTTTAACAACATACTGGAATGTTAATAGGAGACAGAATAATTCTAATGATGTTTTAAAAAAACCCCCTCATAATTATGCAAATTTCCTGTAGTTAAGGCTTGGCAGATCAAAGAACCTTAAAATGAATTAGATAAGGACAGCCATATGTGCCTTTTTATTTTACTCTTTGCATGAATATTGCATACATGAAAGATACTGTAATTAAGAACTAAAGACCTGCAGAATTAGGAAGATCAGAAGCAGAATGGTGGACATTTCGTTGAGTACCGTATGATTTACTTTGGCCCAGGACTGGATGGATAACTTAAGGCAACTGGAAAGTTTGGTTTCAATGGTCCAGCCATCAACTCTTCCCCTGCTAAGACCAGTGGTAGAGACAACAAATAGCATCAACTGACTTGGAAAAAACCCACTGATTGGTTAGCACTGTTTCCATTAGAAAAAGAACTATGTCATTACTCATGTTACTTCTTGGGAGAGAGATGAATTATTTTAAAAATATGATTACAAACAGATTGTCTCATTATTGCTTTCATATAATTAAAAGCTTCAGATATGGATTGTTCCCTGATATTATATAAGGAATATAAATAAGGTGGTGAAAATTAGTTTTAAAATAGTGTATCGATGCCCTACTTTTAAAAGCTTAATCTGGAAAAGATGTTTTGTAAGTTTATATATAGCCCAAAAATGCCATGTGGGTTTGGTATTGCCCATCAGTGCACATATATAAAAGTGTTGCTTGAGGTATTTCTTGATAGTCAAGTAGAATGAGAGTCTGATGTAAGAGACTGTTTTTCAAGATAATAACCTGTAGGCCAGTACCTCTAGTTAGAAGAACATTTAGTGAATTTTACGAGTAGGACTTGTAAAAGAAGAAAGTTTAGCTACAAACTTAATATAATAGCTTCAGAAAATGTGACTTTGAAAAGTTCTTGCAGGAATTATACAGACTCAAGAAATGTATTAACATATTACAGTTGAGAAACTGATCAAAGACAGTGTTATAAAATCCCCTGTAACAACACTGCTAGGGTCATAAATGCACTTGGAATTCATTACTGTTATTTCATAATGCCAAAACAGAAAAGGAAATTCATCATGATTGGACTCTGTTACGTTTTTATTATTGTAAATATGGTAGCAGTGGAGATGAATGGTACTACAGCAGTATTAAATCACATTTGATAGCTTGCTCTTAGAGTAAATTGTAGAAACATTGCATTTCTAAAAGCACCACCCCATGCCCCCCAAAAACCCCCAAACAACCACACTCACCAAACGCTAAAGATAATGTTTAAGAAAAATGGATTTGGTTTTGTTCTTGGAAGAGAGAACCAGGAAAAAAAAAATTGATACATGAAATAGGTCCAAATTTTAAGCTGGCTTTATTCTCCACAGATTTAAGGAATTTGTTAGCTATGTGCATTCTTCTGTGACACAGAGGTCTATAGTTCTAGGTCTATAGCACATCTTTATTTTGCCACTGGACTGTTTTGTAAGCTTGCTTAAGTAGCAGGTGCCAAAGGGTCAAACGTAAACGCGACAAACCCATCTAATTTTCTATTTCCTGAAAGTAGCATTTAGAATCAGTTTATACTGCTGTGAATTAACCTTTTAATAGATATTCTGCACTTGAGATCCCACAAATCCATTTTGTCATCTTCTGATTAAAATTATGTCAATTTATAAAAATAAAATTTATTTTAAAAAGCAGCATGCAATATTTCATCCACATATGCCAAGTTTCAGTTCTCTACAGTTACTATTTATGATATCCCAAATATAAAATAATTTCAAGACTCTAATAATACAGATACTACTAGCTGTTAGACACGATTAAGTGTATTGTATGTGTTCACTTAAAATACCAGATTCCTAAGTCAGAGATTGTGTTAATAAGTAGCAAGAGTTAAAAACTTCTCTGACTACATGAATGATGAATCTAACTGAGTATAATTAGATCTAAGCAAAGGTTATGTTGTAGGTTTTTTTGATTTATAGCATTTTCCTAAAGAAGAAAGAAAGGGTCAGTTTGATGGTTTTACTAACGTGTTTCTTTTCTTACGCAAAAAATGTCTTGTTACTTAGGCAAACAGTTATTTATCAGTACTCTTGATTCTCTGATAAGATTAAGTATCTATTCCTAAGTCACATGGCCAAAGGAACTATGAAGCTGTGTTTTCATTACGTTAGTTTATATTCACATGTGTGCACCAAATTTAGGCAGGCCTGCATTAAGTCCCAGTGAGCCTGAAGGAATAAATACATTACACTATAAACCCACCAATTTCTTAATTTAGATGCATGTTCGCCCAATGAATGCATTTAACTATTAGTGGCAGGCTGGCAAGAAATTTTGTAATATAGAAATTATGGTAATTTCCAGTAAGTCTGACAGCAGGTCTCAAGCTCTATCGCTAGATCCATATTCCAAAAAGGTAGCCCCTGGAGTACAGAGGGGCAGTGATTGACTGCAAATACTTTAGTTAACAGCAAAAGAAGAGATTAGTGAACTCCAATCTTTATTACACACACTTATGAAAGAGTTTTTATTCTTTACTAAGATATGAGAAAGCATTCCAAACTCTTTATACTTTTGTTGTTTTGAAAGACAAGTACTCATGCCTTGTAAAAAAAAGGAATAGGTACAACAAAATTGCTTGTATTTAACAGTATAGGTCTTACTGGTATCCTATCAGAAACTCAACTCTAAAGCCAATACGCAACATGGAAGCAAAATGAGAAGAAAACCCAAGATACTCGATCATCAAGAAGAACAGAGCAGAAAAGGCACTCCAATGTGGATTAAAGTAACATGGAGAAAACAGTAGGAATCTCTAGAAACCTGTCCTGAGACAAAATGCTTTCAAAAATGGGATAGAAACTATGAAACTAAGGATGTCTGTATTCGTATGAATAGGAATTCCTTCCTGTATGGAACCTGCAAGATCTTTTAGCCTTATCTTCTATTTCGCCATAAACCCTTCATAGTACACGAAGCTTTTTTCTGCAATGCTCCCTCGTTACTGCTGGACAAGAACATTTCAGGCTATGGCTAATGCCACCCGCAAGCATGCTGACCATATGGCCAGCCTGAGGACAAAACCAGACCAAGTAACTGATGATCTCTTAAGTGAAATCTTTTTTTCATGTGGAATTTTGTCTTCCTCTGAACTGCTGATTTTTACAGAACTAGTAGAGTTTTGAGGCATGTAAGTTTCAGTTAAAATTGGCTTATGCTAGCTAGTGGATTCAAAAGTTATTAGGGACCACAAATAATCTTTTTTCTCTTTATTTTCTTCTAGGGTGGAATTAACAGTCCTGAGCACAGTAGTCAAGGTGAGAGCATTATCATTGATTTAGGACCTTAACATGTCAGCATTTTTTTCCCCTGAATTATTGCTATTATTTAAATAATGTTATACAGAATACAGTTTTGTCAGTGAACTACAGGGAACTTTTTTTTAAAATTTGAGTTTAATTTGAAATAAGACTTGAGTGACAGATGCAGATGACTGCCACCATTGGAAAGGAGTTGGAATGGTGCAATTTACAGACTTGCATTCTCTGCTCTGATCATTTTTGGCTTGCAAGTTCGAGATTTTTGCCTAAGCAAGAAGTGAGTCCATTATGAGCTGTGGTCATAAGAAACATTAAGTCTTAAACTAATAGACCAGTTAGTACAGTCACCTGTGTCTTCTAGGAGCCACTAGTACATAGCTAGGAACGCAGCATAAACCTCAGGATATTCTTCTAATATTAGGCACTGCTTGGACCATGGTCTAATGGATTATTCTTTGTCTACTTTGGTTTTGGACTTATGGAAACTGTGGCATCTGCAGCGTCTCATGCAATCACACACAATTGTGTGAAGCACTGCTTCTTTCCATTTATTTTGACCCTGTTACCTAATGATTCTTTGATACCTTGTAGTTCTTGTAATACATGAAAGGATGCAGCCATTCCCCCTCTATCTTCCTCATGCTACTTCTGACTTACAGATGCCTGTTAGCCTGCTAGATGTAGTGAACAACTCCAGAAAAATACATCCTGTGTTTACTGAATACTATGTTGATCCTTTTTCATGCGCCTACAAGATGTTATTTAGGTATTTCAAGGCCACTGTTGTTTCTTAATATATTAATTGCTAAGGAACTAGTAGAAAAAGTAAATCATTAGCAGCTTATGCTATTTCACAAACTGTTGATATTGTATCCAACAATTTTTCATATTGGGCAAGATATAGCCAACTGTTCAAACCCAATTTGCATGGGACAGAAGAAAGGAAAAAAGAATGCAGTTGCAATGTTTTGAATAAATACGCAATCTGTAAAGAAAGAAGGGAAAGTTAGGGGGGTTTGGCCTTGTAAACTGAAGACACTATTCAAAACCAGTCCCATTTCACTCTGTAGACTTCTTTCCAACTCTTTAGTTTGCTGAGAAGTATATACAGACAGACCATGCCATATGTATTCTCATTATAAGGTTATCTTACCTGACCCATTTTTCAGGTATCCATTTGCATCTACAGTAGTGTACATGATGTAAGGACCAGGCTGATTAACACCAAAAGGCTACAAGGAGGGGAAAAAAAAGCAGACAAAATTTTAGGAACAAAGCTACAATAATAAAAGAGTAAATCCAAGAAAAATGTTTCTAGGTTAATGATTTCCTATTGATATGGATAATTTTGAAATCTTGCAACTGTTTTGGTCATAGCATTATGTGGAAATTAATTTTCAAAATAAGGCTAATCAGTTGTCAAAGTAACATTTAGTTTCTGATGAAGAAAGCAACACTAGTCAGTCCTCTGGCAAAAGGTTTAATGCTTCCATGGAAGTTACAAGTAAAATTTAAAAAAATCTCTAAAAATTCAAAGAAATAACTGCATGTCTTGAAAAAGCAGAACTCACTTGATATTGTCTGAGAGAATGCACTATCTTGATGGCTTTTCTGAACTGAAAAATACTACACAAATTCAAAATTTTGTTATCAGTATTTAGCAGTGTTTTATTTAATTCATGAAAGTATTTGAATAGTTACTTGTTGAGTACCAATATCTATTTTGAGCAAATTCTCTTGAGGGAGAAAATGTACTTAAAGTTATAGGGGAAAAAAGTAAATAAATGCATAAATAAATAAAAAGGGAGTTGTGGATTAAAGAGAGATGAACCGTAACAAATTCACTGAAGAAAGAAGGCGGGGGAACAATTATCTGCTATGGTGGGGGAAAGGAGGGGAGACAACTGTAAGAATATATTTTAAAGAAAGTTTTTGTGTGGGGTTTTTTGTTTAATTTTTTTTAAATGCTGAATTCAAGCTGCTATTAGGGTATCAAATCCAGTAAAGATCTTTCAAATGAGTTATAGAAAGAACACTACAAGAAGAGATGATGACACATTTCACACCAGGCCTCAAAAAAATAGTAAGATCTAAACTGTAAGAGTAAGTGATAATGATGAGAGATGAGATCAAAGCCTGAAAAATAATTGATTAGAATGAAGAGTAATGAGACCACAAAGGTGATGTTAATGTAGATTTATGAAAGAGGAATAAATAAGGTGAAAAACTGATTTTATTCTTTTTTTTTTGCGCTGTATTCTGGCATAATGCACTTTTTGTTACTTTCTGACAGAGGACTTCTTTTAAAGTGGAAGCAATAGTATTTCAATGATCTTGATAATGAAACGTTCACCAACATCTGTTGTGAAGATATGCTCTTTAAACCCTCTCTTTAGTTTTGTAATTAAGCTAATAATACCAAACCCCTTTATTATTTTATACTGGAAATTAAACCCTATGTTTTAAAAATGGTTTGAAGAAAAAGTTGGTCGCATTTGAAGCAGTTTTTATATTTTCAAATCAAAATTACATTTCATATTTTTGCAGAGCTAAAGCGCTAATTCTAGCTTTGATTCCTCTAAGTTCCTCTGTCAAGCCAACTTTCACTGTGAACATTCCTAAACAATTTGCTAATTGAAAGTTTGGTGGGCGAGTTGCAGGGTCTCTGGAGATTATTAAAATAATTAAAATAGAAATCAGCACACATATATGTAACTATCTGCAGAATCATCAGAACCAAGTATATTTCCTTCCCTTATATCCTTCATTGTACCCATTTACTGTATTTTAATGCAGAAGAGGCTTTATGGCTGAATCTGTCCCATAATCAGCTTTGCCTGGCCTTTCTGACTGCCTAGAACAAGACCTGGCACACCACACAGTTTGGGCATCCAGCTATATTACACAAGTTTTTCTCGTATCTGGTATATCCCAACCCCCATGATGCTGGGTACCAAAGCTCACTGCAGCATCAGGCTATTGATTTCATCTCTGAGCAGGCAGCTGGTGAAAGGTATGGCTCTCAAATGTGCAGAACTTGGCCAGTCATGATTTGGATTACACATTCTTCCAGTCAATAACTGGCTTAATATGTGGAGAGCTTTTGGTATAATTATACCTCAGCATATTGGAGGCTAAATAGTAATGCAAAGTTATAGTTATACTTACTGTTATTTTCCGAGGACAGTCATTAGAACAGAGGCCACTGAGAACTGCAAAACAAAAAGTGAGCTTGTAGTGTTTATGATAACAAGCCATCTTACAAGCTCTACCTCTGAAATCTGTTATAGTATAGCAATAGTGTCAGGTATCCATTAAAACAAATAAAGAAATGTCTTCTATATGACTTATGTTAATGTATATTCATTATTCTTCATTTCTAACCATTTAAAAATACTGGCAGAGATTCAGCTTTACTGTTTTAACTAGTAAAAAGGTAAGTAAAGGCAGACAGTGAAAGCTGATATTTGGACCAGATTTGAGGGCAGGTCATCCTAATCACCAGGATTTTTGAAAAAATGTTTTCTATCTACTTTAAGGCTCCATGGAGTTTCAGGTAAAAAATGTCTAGGGACAGGGAAATACTAAAAAGTGCACATAAGATGTTCATAGCGTAATAGTCTGATTAGAAATCATTCCTTACTGCAGTCGGGAATGGCACTGTTCTAGTGAAGCAACATTTCTAATATTTTGTGTGCAAATATTAACAACTGTAATGATTCCTAAGTTATCATTCTTTTCTTGCGATTTAAAGATGTTGATGTTTCCAGATATAGAAAAATCTATTATTTTTATGCAGTCCAAAAAGTATCTGGACACATAAGATGAAAGTGTGGCAAAACAGAATTTGAAGACCATGTGTATCTACAAATAGACTTTTTAAGCTATGAGTTTATTTTATATATTATACATAGGTGCATATGCAAGTGGAACCAACTCTTCCCATTTTGGTGCAAAACACCACACTGCAATTTGCTGTTCAATTTCACTACCGGAACAAATAATCTGACCAAGTACATTTGACACCAGTTATAATGAGCAAAACTGTTCTCATTGTCCATATGCCAAATAAGTGAACACAACGCATTTATTAATACACTAACTTGCACAAAGCATGTCTTGTTAGAAATACTCTCCCCTGTATCACAGTAAAGATATTTTTAGATAACTCATTAATTCCCATTTCCTGGGGTTTCCATGCAAAAATATTCACACCTTAGAAGAGTGCTAAAAAAGATTTACACAGAGCGAACCAAAAAGCATGTTGCAAATTACTCCTTTCCCCATTAAAATATCACACAATTATAATTCTAATATGGCTTTGTAAAGTGTAAGATTTTTTTAGAGCATTTTCTGCATGCTTGTGTGAATTACACTACCTATATACAGTATTATTTAAAAGAAGGCTTCCATCAACATGACAAATCATTATAGGGTATTACGAAGAGAATTAAGTTCAGGCTAAGGAGAAAGCCCCAGTAGTAGCTGCATCAGCCCCAGTAGTAGCTGCAGTTCTGTTAATCTTATGGTGTGCAGAATGTGCATGTGAATCCTTTCAAAGGATTAGATGCATTTAAATAACATTAAGGCCAATACAATTTTTGAAGGTGAACCTCTAGTTGTTCCTATTTAGCTTTGTCCTCATAAGCTCATGTACAGCCTCACTTTTTAGTCATTCTCAAAAAAAAAAAAAAAATCAAGGAAGACAGACAAGCAATAAGCTCAAAGCTCAACACCTCTGCAGTCTGGAAGAACATGGTAGGGCATGCAATTTGAAAACCTAATTACTCTCAATTACAAGTATCATAATCTAACTCTAGCCTTTCAAACCAAGGCTCTAATTAATTCACACACCCTTGCCACGTTCATTGTCATTCTGTGCTTTTATGGTAAGATGTGTTTTGTGCCATGTGCCTCTAGGCTGAAAACACCAAACTGACTCACACATGGAAACAAACTCTCAGAATAGATCATGCAGCATAAGCAAAATATACACCATGCTAGTTCTCACTGAAATGAAACCAGCTTATTTTGCACTAGATTCTGCATACTTTCCAGATAATATAGAAAAGAACTCCAGTAAAGTAAGCTTGATATGACAGAGGTACAGCAAAAAAGACAGAAGTCACTGCTGGAAAGAAAATATTGCAACCACTCAAGGCACAGATAAAAGTAACTGCACTTGGTTATTGTTTCTTGCCTAGGTTTCTGAAAATAGGCAAGATAAAAAGGCAGTCACTGTGGACAGAGCATGTTCCTTCAAGTCAATATTGCTGTACTTTCTTCTGGTTCCTTTCTGTCTTACTATGGCATACATATTTTTATATGCAAGCATAATTATATTTTTCCTTAGATTAGTGATTTATGAGCTAATCTTCCTCCAAATTTTAAATAGCATCACATATTAAAAAAAAAAATCTAAGTTGAATGATAGGTATGTGTAGATCTAATACTATTTTTGTATTGACAACATTATGTTATGTGAGGAGATAAGTGAAGGTTCACAGAAGGGGCCTCATATGTTCAGC